CTGAATTGTAAGTTCGATACCCCCTCAGCCAGCCTAATATCAAGCCGTAGTGATATTGGTTTTAACTTGTAAATATAAGGCTAAACTAACTTATTGCTTGGGTGGAGCGACTAGGGCGGATGCAGAGCACGCCATTATGGAGTGCAAAACATGGGAGAAGGATAGTCAAAAACTATGGAGAGAGATAGTAAGGCAAAAAATCTCTCTCCAAACCAATTTTATAACATTATTGACAAATAAAAGGATATTTGGTGCACTAAATAATTATATACAATCTGATAAAGTAAAATCGTAAAGATAACTTATAAAATGTATATGACTAATGTACGTGTATACAAAGTCAACAAATAAACAATAAAAAAAATATTTTACAGCAAAAACGCATCTTTAAAAAAACCACGTTGTTAAGAAAAATTGTAAGTTGGATTGCTGTTCAAAATAAGAAAAAAATATTCAAAAGGTTTGATTTAGGTACTATGATATTTTAATTTTAATGCACCCTTTTGTGGTATTCGACTACTCACAATCAATTGATATCTGATACCAAATTTTCTACTTATAAATGCTGTAAATTTGTACCTACTCTTAGACATAATAACATAATTTAAAAAATTATTTCAGATTCATGAATATATATAACTTAATTATCTTAAACCCTTCATGTTTCACAGAAAATTGTAATGGATAATCGCTACTCAAGCCACGCAACGAATAAACAACAAGTATGAAATTCATCTGAGTGGAAATTGTGTAGGAAAATGCAAAGTTTCAAACAAGGAAGTCACTGTGACAACGATAATTCGAATCACTTCAAGATTGCTTCATCGAGGCTCAAAAAACGATGTTTGTTTCTGCTAATTTTGGGACTTATGGTTATGATTATTTTCAATATGGCTCTCATACTGTGGATTATTAGTGTTATGGATTTTTCAACGGTAATATGAATATAATCTTAATAAATCTAACTATGTATTCACAAAGTCAGCTGATCAAATGTTATTGTTTCTACAATATATTTTACTACTACCATCAAATAAATTTTTTAAAGATGATGATAATTATGTCTAAATTAAAAGATGTTCAATATTGTACACTTTTGCTAATACCAATCATAAAGTTGAATCCAATGCTGACTTAAAATAATCATTTAATTGATTTTAAATAATTTAATTAAATCATAGGTAAAATGCATTAGCTGTATATTGTATTGTGTGTATAATTTTAGACCAGTATGGGCAGTTTGCGATTTGTACCAGGAGGCTTGCAGCTGATTGGTAATACTCTGATGCTCGGCTCTCTGACTGCCAGCAGCATAAAAGCAAAGCATGGACGTCCCTTGATTTTGGAATCTTTTCATAATTTCACAATTCATACCAGAGACAAGCATGGAATGATAAGTGATCGATTCTTTTTAGGTAAGAAGGAAAATCATCTAACATTTCTTGGTCTTTACCACCAACAATGTCCTAGTTCATATATTCTGATATCAAGCACTAGTGATATCAATTTCTAGTAGATCAAAAATATTTTTTCAAATTGAAATAGCCCTTCAGAAGGATACTGCAAAAAGTCTTAAAATAGAAATTATGATCATGAAACCAAACATTATGTATGATTGCTGTTTACAAAAAGTTCTGTCAATTTTTCATGATAGAAGTACCATCTATTCTTTTAGGTCAAGGTCGTCTGGAATGTTCGACTTCTGCATTTGTTGTATCAGATACTAGCGGAATACCGATATTTTCTGCGAGCCCTCGAGAAGTTTTTATAAGAACGGAGTCTCTCCGAGTGCACGGCGAAGGGGGCACTACTGTCCAAGGAAGCGTGCAGACACCACTAGTTCGTTCGGAATCAGGAAACGCTCTTAGGTGAAAATATAGAATAAAATACATTTAACTAAAGTACAAATTCAATCTCATTTTTATTAAAGACCAAATCTTAATTGAAAACAGATGATAAATAATTTTAAAATTTTTTGCTTTATATTTTAAGGGGTTTTTGTATTGCGTTTTGATCATAAGTAGCCCGGGTGCAATAAAAACTAGAAATTAAAAAAATATTGATTGTATACATATGCATTATCATCTATTGGTATATCATAAAAGATTTGATATACTTCACTGCTGATTCAAAATTTCAATAAAGGGGGCCTCCATTAATCACGTGAGGTTTTTAGAGGCAGGGAGGGGAGTTTGACAAAAAATCACTTAAAATCACGTGGGGAAGGGAGGGGTATAGTAAGATATCACATGTATTTATTTTTTACCTGATTTAAAAAAAAAAATCCAAACAATTAAAAAAAACAAAATTTTAACGAATTTTTTTATAACTAAAAATACACTTGATGTTTGGTAGCGGAGGGAAGGTAATTTTGATTATCACCATGTATTACCAAGGGGGAGGTGGTCCAAAAATCCTAAAAAAATTGATCACGTGATTCATGGACGCTCCCAAAAGTGATTTAAATTAAAAGCGAATTATCAATTGTGAGTAAATTCCTCCATCGTAGATAGTTAGTTATCATTATGCTTTGATATTCTAATTACATATTATCAATTTTTAAATTTTCACCCACTTGTTAGTTTTGAATCATCTCTATAGTTAACTACAACAATTTGTATTTATTTATTTGATTTAGCTCAAAAATTTCTCTAAGATAATAAGAATATATAATTTATCATCTCATATAAAATATTTTCTCAATGCTTTTCGAAATGTAATAGGCAGAATCGATTGTTGTAATTTAGATTTCCAAGTGGTCTGCGCTATGGGACTTACATACATCAATGTAACTGCCTAATACATCAATGACTAAGACATGCAATTCAGCGAAGATGATTCGATTTTATCTTAAAACACGTACAACTAGAAAATATTAAATGAACGAGTATATTGGAATAGCCAAAATTTGTAATGGATAAAGAAAAGTTGAATTATATTGACCAATAAATAGTTTATTGACCAAATAGTTTAAAGAAGCATAATTATAATTAAACTAATATTTGTTGCAAATGACAATTTGTGGGTAGTCATATTGGAAATTGTTGAAAATATTAATGAAAATATTTTGATCATAATACTTTGGTGTTTCTTTATAAATGGGGTTAACAAGTAAGTTATAGTAATCGCAAAAAAATCGAAAATGAAAATTTTTATATATCTTTACGTTTCAAAGGTTTCTGAATATTTTGGAATACCTTGGAAAAAATGGATGTATGTGTGTGTATGTGTGTATGTATTGCTTAAAACAATGTTCAAAATTTTCAAAATAAATCAAAATACAAAAAATCAAAATATAAAAAAATTGAAATATAAAAAAAATATTTTTTTTCAAAAAAGTCAATTTTTTTCAAAAATTTCAAAATTTCTCAAATATCTAATTTTTTCGAAGTTTTGCAGTTTTTTTTAATAATTTGCTTTTTGATACGGGAAGTTCCAGCAATTTGTTTTAAGGCACGATGCCATGCACCACTGGTTTAATCAAATTTTACTTTTTTTTAAATATTGCATAAATATGGGAGACTCGTCTCTATATTTTATTTAAGCAATGCTGTAAAGCTATTATTTTTTTGGTTGTGACTATATAAAAAAAGGATTTTATAAATATTTTCAGATTAGAATCATCGACACGAGGTATTAAAATTATTTCTCCAAAAGGAATCCATGTGGAATCGAAGGCTGCTGATATAAAGACTGAAAGTTTAAATGACATCACAATTAAATCTCTTGCAGGAAAGGTAAAAAAAATAATTATAATAAATGAATTATATAAATTATTATATTGGTTTTTTGAAAATTTCATGTTATTAATCTATTAATTTTAATTTTAATTTTATTTTATAATTATAATCATCAATTTAATAAAATGAAATAAATTTTGCACAATTTAGCATATAGCATTAGATTCTGCAGTTAATGAACATTTAATTAATAAATCAATATATAGTGAATTTAAATGTAGATATTAACACCTTTCATAATTTAGGGTTTCACAGTTTTTTCTAAATAATCATAATCAATTTCAGATAAAACTAGATTCGTCTAATGTGCTGATGCCTAACTTAAAAATAGCTTTACCCGTGCAAAGTCATATTAACAACGAAAATTCTAATTCAAAAAAATATAATACCATATACCAGTTATGTTCTTGTGCAAATGGTAAATTATACTTAGCCCAATCACATGGACTGTGTATAACTGATATATCACAGGATATATGTAGATGAAAAAAAATATATGCCAGGTGTATTTAATATTAACGCAAAATGAGCTTTAATAACGCTTACGACTAAAAGTTTTACAATGTGATAGAAGCCTACACACGGTGGTATAACTATAGGAATTATAATAAAATATTATATAATTAACAGTGGTTATTGAAATCGTCGTTGCATATAAATATATGCATTTAAAATGCAATTTAAAATTTAAGTTGCATCTTCAGAATATATAATAGTGCTAATTAAAGTTGAAGTAACAAAATGCATTTCTATGACGACAATGATTATAGATATTAAAATTTTATTTGATTTATTATAAAATAATATCTGTAAACTCATCTTATTTAAGTTTGAGATTGTTTACTTAAACATTCCTAGTAGTTTTAAATCAGTAGAAATGTATTTGTAAATATATTTATATAAATCTTACATTATATAACATTGGGTTTGAGTTAAGCTTTACATTATTTCATTGTAATCCATAAGGCTTAGTTTGTAAGCTTTTTAATATTATCTAAAACCATATAAGATAAATCCGTCTTTTATTAATTATAAGTTTTAAAATTCCTATTTTTTTTTAAATCGATGGCGTAATTGTTACGATTATAGATATCGTTGTTAATGAGATTAAATTTTATTCAGTATTGTGCATTTTTCGTCTGAACCTGAATCAAGTGATTTTGGAATTCGAGTTCCATTTTTATGAAATCAAATAATGTAAAATATTTAAATGTTTTTATTATTATTATCTTTATTGATACATTACTCTTTGTTAAAACTTTATTCGCTCAACCATTTTGCTATAAGTTCCAAAACACGTTTCTTGGCAGCTTTCATTTCTGCTGAATCAGCTGATGAAATTGATTCCAAATCTTTGCAATGGGAAGTTCCTGAAATATATGTAGCTTATTGGGTAAATATTATATTGCTGTACGATATACAACTTTTTAATTTTGCTATTTGTCAAAGATATAATTCAAACTGATTTTATTAGTGATTTACCTTTTACTACGATCACTGGACTTTTCGGGTTGACTTCTTCCAAAAGTCCAATGGAATGCCAGGGGTCTACTGTACCGTGGGTGAAGATGACCCTATCTACGGCTGAAGTTAGTGCTCCATAAACAACATTAGTCCTTTCAATGCCGGTATTTAAAATATCTTCTGCATTGTCGGTAAATCTGCAAAAATGGAAAATTAGTCAATTCTATAAATGATATATTTGTCCAACATTTTGATATGCGTGTCATCAATTAAAATATACATTCGAGGTAATAATTTGAAGTTCAATAATAAATTCAAATCAGTATACTGAATAAATATATTTATTTTAACGTAAATTAATATATTTAGGCTATTTTTAGTTGAAATCATAGATAAACCTACAACCACATATCTTTATCAATATCAATCAAATAAAATCATAAATTCTAATATCGATATAAATTGGGTTATTTTTTCAATCTAGTTTATTAACTTGATAGATGTAGTTTTCAAATGATAGAAACTGTGAAATTTTTTAAATCACTGAAATAATACGGTTTACGAGGTTAAACTGATTTGCAAAGATTCTGAACTAAATCTCATTTTCACATAATAAAAAAAACAGTATACATAAGTTAATATATGTAAAATTTGAAACATTTGAATTATTTATAGTATCAGAATGCCAACCTGAAATATTTAATCAATGAGCATTTACTGTGATGAATTTCATACTTATTTTAACATTACTTACACATCTTCAAATATATCTTTACATATTTGGATGTTAAAGTGCAAAGTATTAATACCAGATCCATAAGGCTGGTTAGGAGAGGAATCAGTCTGGTAGTATCCGTATTCCGTGCAAGTTTGGTAGAGCCATGGATGCACTAAAATATTATTTAACATCCTGATTTACGTTATTGATTTATATGGAATATAAAAGTAATAAATTTTACTCACTGCCGTCTGTAGCATTCAAGCTGCTCCAACTAACTTGTTTAAAGGCGTTGACCAGAGATAAATAGTCTGCTTCAGCGCATTCGGAACTTTCCCATCCAACATTGGATTTAATTAATGCTGCCAAACCTTTTAATTCACTTCCGTTGGTTGCATCAGTATTTTTCTGGAGGATATCACAGGCATTTTCAATATCACCAGGTTGGTGATATTGGACAATTCCGGCAATGACGTTTTCTATTCCAGATACTAGCGTACCGTAATCTAAGGCATCTCTTGGGTTGATGGCAACGCAAAGGCTAGTGGAATAAAGAAAATAGAAATTTGATTTTAATTAGTTAAATTATGTCATGTCATAAAATTAAACTTTATATGAAATTTGAACAATTACACTTACTTGAACAACTGGGCGATTTCTTGTGGTCCATTTGCAGTTTTCATGACTTCTCTCAATTGCTTCATACCTTCTTCAACAATTTGGTAGCATCTGTCTCCACTTTCACTCTTCAGGGCTTTGCCTACTACCTCGTGATATTCTGGATTGACAAATAATTTAAGTTGGGTAAGCAGTAGTTTATTTATATTATTTAATACAGAAGTCTGGTAATTTTTAGATAGTATTATGCTTACTGTAGAAGTCTGCAATTGCCAATAGAGGAGCACTGGAAGAAAGAGCAATGTCGCACTGATGAGGATATTTCAGGCGGAACCAAGCAGCCATACTGCCGGCGTATGATCCACCAACAACGATTACTTTGCTGTCTTTTGCTCCTATGAATGCAAAAGTTTTTCAAAATGATTTTGAAACAACGCACAAAATATCAAAGTGATGTAAAAGATAAATGTATTTACCTGTGATTTGACCTTTGACATAATCAACAAAGTAAGCCAAATCAGCCAGTGACTGATCCACACTCAAGTACTGAAGATTCTTAGTAGAAACATCTCTGAAAGTAAGCAAATAAACTTATAAATATAAGTGTAAATATATTTTATATAATTTAATTTTAGACTTGGTTTGCATGTTAATTAGTTATTTGTCGATTGCTATGAACAATAATAAAATGGTAGAATTCTTATAATATATAAAATCCTACTATCAAAATTTCAACATTTACTAACTATTGGGTCGCTCATAATTATAATTTATTTTTATTTTCATGAAAATGTAAATTATCTAAAGTGTAGTACAGACACTGATTGAATCCAATAATACTTATTTTTAAAAAATATGAAAAGTTGTACTGTATAATTTTCAAAATTGTTATGGCTATTTTCTATCTGATTCAAATAAATGAGTTTTACATTATGTGATGCTCTTCCTATCAGTAGAAATCGATTTTTTTTCAATAATTCAAATCAATCAAGCCAAATTATACGTAAAAATATTCAAAATCTCATTTCAATTTCGACTTTTGGAAGATAACTATAACTCAAACTCACGGTGTTGGATGACTTTCACCGTAGTAACGATGCTCTGTGTAGAATAAATATCCTTTATGTTGGGCTGCGATATCATAATGCTGACCACCAAGCAAAACTCCAGAAGTGATTGTCCATTCACCTCCAATTTGTATGATAATTGGTCCACCAGCTTTGTAGTGCTCATCATTAGACATATATCTCTGGAAAAAAATAGAACAGTAAGTAAAAAAAATTTGAAAATGTTCTATTCTGGAAAGTAGAATTAGCATATACTAAAAAAGATTTTTCATAAATTTGTTATAAATTAAAGAGACAGTGAGCATATATGGTATAATAGTAAATAATTTGCTTATTTTTAGTACTTATTATCAATCAAACCTACCATTTTCCAAGTTCTGTTATCACGAGGATTGAAGTGGTCCAATTTTTGAGTCACCCACAAAGTTTGGACGTTATGTCTGGATTTTGGTATGAATTTAACAGGTTCTCTGTGTTTTCTGGACCAAATCTTAAAGAAACCAGAAACATCACTGCATAATAGCCATAAGGCCAACACTAGGACTGCAAGTAGATTCATCTAAAAATTTATAAATATTAAATTTAAATATTTGAATATCAATATAAACATTAACCGGTACCACAAATTGAATATTGATAAATAATATGAATTTTGAAATATCTAACCTTGGTCAATAATTGCAGTCGCAGAACTGCCCCAGAAGCAATTTGATATAGGTACAAATACCATTGTATTTAACAATCTGTGAAAAAATGGTTTTATCAGTTTATAATCATGACAGACTCAGAGCTGGATTATTGCTCAACTCAAAATAAATATTATTGTGATTTATATACCAATTTATTAAAGGCTGTCGTGTTTCTTTATTCTACTTTTCGTTCAAATAGTCTATATTCTGAATAAAATATAATTGTTGACTGGTTTTGTTAATTTTTCATTTTGGCACAAAATGCCGAAAACCAGTAATTTGAAACAAGCACATGATAATATTCTGGAAACATTGTTAGAGGAACCAATTGCCATCCCGCAGTTTTCCGAAAGCTTACCTAATAAAAAATTTCACTGGTCAATTCCATTTTTTTTTAATTCGTATTTTTAAAACCCAAAATGCTTTAAATTTTCAATTTCACCAATAATCTTTATCAATTTATATACGTACATGTAAATTTATTTAAAAAAATGTGCGAAGCGAATTAGATTATTCCAAGATATTATTCATAGATGACTCATAGATAAGTTTCGCTTATAGATAAGGTGTCGCTTTCGCAAATTATTGTTTATAATTTAATGAAATTCAGAGAATAATACTTCTTAATAATTTTCAGAGATTTTCAACTAGGCGAATGACAAGTCAACATTGGAGATAGTGTCAGTGGGAACAACAAATCGTGCACAATTTTCTCAAAAAATGTTTGTGTAGCAAGGTAAATGGTAATGTCATCATTTTCAATTTTAAATTTGCTTATAGTTGTATATTTGTTAATTTTGTTTTGTTTTACATTTAGTTAATAAGATTAAGTTTTATGCATTTTTCGTCTGAACCTGAATCAAGTGATTTTGGAATTCGAGTTCCATTTTTATAAAAACAAATATTGTAAACTTTTTAATAACTTTTATTATTATTATCTTTATTATTACATTACTCTTTGTTAAAGCTTTATTCGCTCAACCATTTCGCTACAAGTTCCAAAACACGTTTCTTGGCAGCTTTCATTTCTGCTGAATCAGCTGATGAAATTGATTGCAAATCTTTGCAATGGGAAGTTCCTGAAATATATGTAGCTTATTAGGTAAATGTTATTATATTGCTGTACTATACACAACTTTTTAATTTTGCTATTGGTATAAAGATATAATTCAAACTGATTTTATTAGTAATTTACCTTTTACTACAATCACTGGACTTTCTGGGTTGACTTCTTCCAAAAGTCCAATGGAATGCCAGGGGTCTACTGTACCGTGGGTAAAGATGACCTTATCTACTGCTGAAGTAAGTGCTCCATAAACAACATTAGTCCTTTCAATACCGGTATTTAAGATATCTTCTGCATTGTCGGTAAATCTGCAAAAATGGAAAATTAGTCAATTCTATAAATGATATATTTGTCAAACATTTTGATAAGGGTGTCATCAATGCTGCTTAAATATACATTTGAGGTAATAAATTGAACTTCAATAATAAATTCAAATCAGTAATTATAACGGAAATTAATAGATTCAAATTTTTAGGCTGTTTTTACTTGAAACCATAGATGATTATCATTATTTAGAAACCATATTTTTGCATCGATTTGGATAATGGATCCGAATTTATACTGATAACGAACCGTACATATTTTGCATCACAATTTGCCATTGTTTTGTTAATAGGATAAACCCACAAATTAAAAATCATATATCTATGTCAATATCAATCAAATCAAATCATATATTCTAATATCAATATAAATTGGGTTATTTTTTCAATCTAGCTTATCAATATGGTAAATATAGTTTTCAAGTGATAAAAACTGCGGAATTTTTCAAATGACTGGAAGGTTACGGTTTTCAAGATCAAACAGGAATATTTAATCAATGAGCATTTACTCTAACGAATTTTATACTTATATTAATATTACTTACACATCTTCATATAGATCTTTGCACAATTGGATGTAAACTGGCAAAGTGTTAATACCAGATCCGTAAGGCTGATTAGGAGATGAATCAGTCTGGTAGTATCCGTATTCCGTGCAAGTTTGGTAAAACCATTGACGCACTAAAATATAATTTCATGAATTATTTAGTATCATGAATTAGGCTTATTGATTTATATAGAATATCAAAATAATAATTTTTTCTTACTGGCGCTTGTAGTGCTCGAGCTACCCCAACTAACTTGTTTGAAGGCATTGACCATAGACAAATAATCTGCTTCAGCGCATTGGGAACTTCCCCATCCAACGTTGGATTTCATCAATGCTGCCAAACCTTTTAATTCACTTCCGTTGGCTGCATCAGTATTTTTCTGGAGGATATCACAAGCTCCTTCGATATCACCCGGTTTGTGATATTGGACAATTCCGGCAAAGACGTCTTCTATACCAGATACTAATGTACCGTAATCCAGGGCGTTTCTTGGATTGATGGCGGTGCAAAGGCTAAATGGAATAAAGAAAATGAAATTATTTGTTATACAAAAATTTTTTCGAAAATTTGGAAGAACTATTGTAATTGATGTTATAAACCTGTTTACATTACGCTTACTTGAACAACTGGGCGATTTCTTGTGGTCCATTTGTAGTTTTTATAACTTCTCTCAATTGCTTCATGCCTTCTTCAACGATTTGGTAGCATATGTCTCCACTTTCACTCTTCAGGGCTTTGCCTACTACCTCGTGATATTCTGGATTGACAAATAATTTAATTTGGGTAAGCAGTAGTTCATTTATATTATTTAATACAAAAATTTGGCAATTTTTAGATAGTGTTATGCTTACTGTAGAAGTCTGCAACTGCCAATAGAGGAGCACTGGAAGAAAGAGCAATGTCGCACTGATGAGGATATTTCAGGCGGAACCAAGCAGCCATACTGCCGGCGTATGATCCACCAACAACGATTACTTTACTGTCTTTTGCTCCTGTAAATGCAAAAAAATTTCAAAACTATTTTTAAAAAAACGCACAAAATATCAAAGTGACGTCAAAGATAAATGTATTTACCTGTGATTTGACTCTTGACATAATCAACAAAGTAAGCCAAGTCAGCCAGTGACTGATCCACACTCAAGTACTGAAGATTCTTGGTAGAAGCATCTCTGAAAGTAATTGAATATAGTTGTAAATTCAATATTTAAGAAAATGTATTTAGAAAGGTATGGATATATAGAAAAACAAATGATTAAAACTACTACCACCCATCAGAATAATGATTTGTATGTTTATTTCTATAATTTATTTACTTATTATTACTTAAAAACTTAAACAAATGTGCAGTTTCAAAATTTTTGAAAAAAAAAATTTAAAACTTATGAAACTTATTTTTTTTCTTTTGCGTATAATTTAAAAATATCTTAAACTCACGGTGTTGGATGACTTGAACCATAATAACGATGCTCTGTATAGAATAAATATCCATTATGCTGGACTGCGATATCATATTGTTGACCACCAACCAAAGCTCCAGCACTGATTGTCCATTCACCTCCAATGTATATGATAATTGGTCCACCAGCTTTGAAGTGTTCGTCATTGGACATATATCTCTGAAAAAAATCAAACACAGTGAGTATAAAAAATCTAAAGTTTTTTATTCTGAGAGTAGATATAAATCTAATAAAAAATATGAAATGAAGCGAATATCATCACACATTTATAAACTTTTCAGGATGTCTTTAAAAGATTAATTTATTTATTATTTATTCAAACCAAGAATAAGTTTGAGCTGCTATATTGTTTCCATTGTAAAAAAATAATAATTAAATTATACTAAAAAAATATTTTTTATCTGTGACTTTAAGTAACAGTAAATAATGGACTTATTTTAGAAATTATCATCAGTATTACCATTTCCCAAGTTCTGTTATCATGAGGATTGAAGTGGTCCAATTTTTGAGTCACCCACAAAGTTTGGACGTTATGCCTGGACTTTGGGACAAATTCGACAGGTTCTCTTGTTTTTCGGGACCGAAGACTGAAGAAACCAGAAACATCACTGCATAATAGCCCTAAGGCCAGCACTAGGACTACAGGTAGATTCATCTAAAAATTTCAAAATATTTTATTTGAATTTTCTATAATTTCATTATGATAAACGTTGGCAAGTAATACGAATTAATTAATAGTAAATAATGTTTATTTCTAAATCTCACCTTGACCAATAATTATAGTCGCAGAACTGCTCCAGAAGTAACTAGATATAGGTATAAATACCATTGGATTTATCTGATTAAAAATGTGTGGTTTTATCGATTTATCATCATATCAGACTCAGAGCTGTATTATAATTAAGCTCAAAATAAAAAAAACCTAGTGGTGTATGATATCGTGCCTTGAGGCAAATTGCTGGAACTTCCCGTACGGTAACGAAATGTTCGAGGAATATTAAATGTTTTCAAATAGATTATTATAAATATTGTAGCATTGTCTAATATTTATAAGAATTATATAAACTAAATTGCAAATGTAAAATTATTTATTTAAAGTATATTAGATCAGAAGTAAAATTAAAATCTGAATTATTTTCGATATACAATTGTTTTTCCAAAAGCAATTATTTTGTTGAAACAAGCAGAAAATTCTTTGGATCATTCAAATCGGACGCCTAGTTCTCTCAAAAACTGCCATTTTTTGCACATTTAGATCTGTATCTTCTAAATGGCTAGACCTGCCTGTGCCAAAAACTAATCAGCATGTCTCCTTATCAACAGAAATCGAATGTTTTTTGAATAATTGAAATCGGTTGAACCGTGTTCCCCAAATCGTCGACGAAAATTTGTATCCCCACACACACACCACACATACATACACACACACATACATCAATTTTTTCTAATTTATACAAAAATGTTCATAAACCTCTGAAACGTGAAGATATATAAAAAAATTTATTTTCGATTTTTTTGCGATTACTATAACTTACCCTACAGGAAGTTAAATATTATAAAAAAGTCAGTATTTTAATTTTTACTCATGATCTACTTTCTCTTACATTATTCTTAAAATAATATTTTTGTTTATACCAATTTCTC